TTTTTTAGTAATTTAGGTCTGGCTTGCTGAGGAAACTTGGGTTAGAGAAAATCAAAGTTGAACCCTAAGAGATGAAGGGGCTACAGAATAAAGGTCATGCATCTTTGGAATTGCCCAGAGGTCAATAGAAAAATAGTATTTATTCCTACACACAAGCCCATGTATAATATAGCAAGGGACATATACATGTAGCCCAGGAGTCCTCAAACTACGGCCTGTGGGCCACATGCAAATACAAATATTGTATTTGTTCTCGTTTTGTTTTTTTACTTCAAAATAAGATATGTGCAGTGTGCATAGGAATTTGTTCATAGTTTTTTTTTTTAAACTATAGTCCGGCCCTCCAACAGTCTGAGGGACAGTGAACTGGCCCCCTGTTTAAAAAGTTTGAGGACCCCTGATTTAGCCAATACTTGGAATTCTTTTATAACCTGGCTGCAAGGAAGACCTTCCATAATTCAAACTCCAGATATAATAAAACTTGATTGTGAAAAATTATAATTAAACATTTTCTTTTGAATGGCCAGCACATAAAGTCAAGCCATAAACAATAAGCTGGGAGAAAATATTTGTAAAAATATATTACTGATAAAGAGCTAACATTCCTAATATAAAGAGTTGTGACAAATTGAAGAGAAAAAAAAAGAGGCCAAAAATCCAATAGAAAAGTGGTAAAAAAAAAACAACAACAAACCTAGACAATTCACAAAACTTGATATAGAAATACCAGTACTCCTTTAAGCATATGAAAGTATATTCAACTTTATTCACAGTAAGAACTGTGCATCATTATTTGTACCTATGAAATATTGGGAACATCCTAAATGTCTGTATATAGATTATTTGAATGAATCATAGTATAACACACAGAGTTGCATGCTATAAAGTAGAATGAGGAAGAGTCTTATGAATTGATATGGAGTGATTTCTAGAGATATTGTTAATGCAAAGAGCAGAAGAGTATATATAATATACAACATTTTATGTAAGAAAGAAGAGAAATAAATATGCATGTCTGTGTATCTAGTGATATCTCTGATTACTTTTGCAAAAGAAACACAGGAATGATAAACTAAAGAAATGAAATTGGCAATAGGGTGGGAGTGAGATTGGAAAATTTGGGAAGGAGTGATACCACTCTGGATATACTTTTTTAAAAAGTTTGACTTTCAAACCAGGTTAATATTTTGTATACTAAAAAAATAGAATTAATTTACAAGATCCAGGGGAGGGGGGTATTAAATAAAAACAGAAGTAAATGAACCTAAATATATATTCATAGGGTGAAATGACTTTACATAAGGGGAAAAATACTAATGCAAGTTATCTTGCACATAGTACCTTGAGTTTATACCTTTAGTCTAAAGACAAAAGAACTGGAAAGAAGTCTTGAACTCTATACATTTGCTGTTATAGTGGTATTGATGGAGCAATTCTGAAATTATTTTTTATGTATTGTAGGATTGAGTAAAAATATTTTTAGGGTGGGAACCAAAGATATCACTGTGGAAGAAGAGTAATACCAGTATAGAATGAGGGAAGGTAAAGAAGAACACTGAACTATTGCATTTGAGATTAGAAGTGTCAACATAAATACAGGATTTCAATATATGCTTATAATTTTATATGTTTATAATTTTTAGTTCTGCTCTCTGAAAGGCCCTACAAGCAGTGGCACTACCAACAGCAATGAGCACACTTAGTTCCCAGCTCTTGGTTTCTAAACATCATTATCCAGTGAAAGTAACTAAGGC